TCACATCCACAACGTCATACAACACTTTCCACATCCACAACGTCATACCACACTTTCAACATCTACAACATCATACAAAACTTTCCACATCCATAACGTCTTACATTACTTTCCACATCTACAACGTCATACAACACTTTCCACACACTGCAACGTCATACAACACTTTCCACATCCACAACGTCATACACCACTTTCCGAAATCTACAAGGTTATACAACACTTTCCACGTCCACATCGTCTAACAACACTACTCACATCCACAACGTCATACAACACTTTTTAACATCTACAACGTCATACAACACTTTCCACACACACAACGTCATACAACACCTCTCACATCTACAAAGTCATACAACAATTCCACATCTATAACGTCATACAACACTTCCCACATCTACAACGTCATACAACACTTTCTACATCTACAACATCATACAACACTTTTTACATCTACAACGTCATACAACACTTTCCACATCTATAACGTCATACAACACTTTCCACATCTACAACGTCATGCAACACTTTCCACATCTACAACGTCATGCAACACTTTCCACATCTATAACGTCATACAACAGTACACACATCTACAACGTTCTACCACACTTTCCACATCTACAACGTCATACAACACCTCCCACATCTATAACGTCATACAACAGTACACACATCTACAACGTTCTACCACACTTTCCACATCTACAACGTCATACAACACCTCCCACATCTATAACGTCATACAACACCTCCCACATCTATAACGTCATACAACACCTCCCACATCTATAACGTCATACAACACTTTCCACATCTACAACATCATACTAATAGAATCTTCCCCTACCCTGAGGGTGTGATAGAGAAATGGAGATTTCTCTATCACATCCTCTGAGGGTAGGGGTTGATTATTTTTCTCCCACCCCATTATTTCTGCCACGACGTAAAAAAAACCCACGGTACAAGTGTCTGAATGGCGCATGAATATCACCATTCACGTTTCCGAAATTCTACATTCTTCCGCGAGAGCAAAAATGACAGACTACAAACGCAATATGAATAACCATTAGAAGAACTATTAATTTTGTGGAAATTAAATATTTTAATTAGAGATAGATACATGGAAATACTTGTATTGAACAACATTTAACTCTGTATCATTTATTAAGGTAGGGTAGGTTTGCCGCGATGTCATGGACAAAAAGAGGATTTCCCAGTTTATAATGACGTCAATTGTTTATGCGCGCGAAAAATTGCAATGGTGCGAGTGTCACGCGTGTGTTCATTCAGAATCAGAGTCATAGATGATCCTCCGACGTTTATTTGTGTTCACTGCACAAGGATTGATATAGTTAATGTTAAATGTGGTGTTACAGTCGCGCATTACAGAACCTGCAAACAAAGCATCCACTCGTCGGTTTGAGTAAATTGTGATAGCCGACTGAGGTCACCGAGTGCAGTCATGTGGGATAGATTTATCCTCCATGGGTGTTCCACATAGGACATGTCTATCCTACATGGGCTGAGGTGGGAGAAAACACTTTCCACATCTACAACGTCATACAACACTTTCCACATCCACAACGTCATACAACACTTTCTACATCTACAACGTCATACCACAATTTCCCCATCCACAACGTCATACAACACTTCCCACATCTATAACGTCATACAACACTTTCCACATCCACAACGTCATACAGCACTTTCTACATCTACAACGTCATACAACACTTTCCACATCTATAACGTCATACAACACTTTCTACATCTACAACGTCATACAACACTTTCCACATCTATAACGTCATACAACACCTCCCACATCTACAACGTCAAACAACACTTTTCAAAATACAAGTACACAGTTTTTTTCGGCACTTAGCACGACATGTGAAGCCCATGTCGCTTTTCACAATGACATTATACATTGTCGCTATTACGTCTCAATAACTTCTCACACTAAATATAAACCGGATAGATCTATTATAACCCAGAAAAAAGGCCACGACACATTTACATAGTTTATTAATATTCATAAGTATTGGAGGGCATGCTTAAGATTATTTGTGATGTTAATGTTTTCTCACAATACTTGAGTGTTGTTACGCCAAGCCTATGATAGTAAAGATAGCGCTACGATCCTATTTTGATAAGGCAGTGGGTATCCTACTGTATAAAGCTTGTGTGGTAGTAAGTGACAATCCGGAAAAAACAACATCCGGACATTTATACATGGGAACGGTTTTAATCAAAAGTGATCAACCGGGAATTACTAATACCGGGTGCGGACACTTGTTCTGTGGCCTAAAATGGTTATGATGTTGTCCATGTTGGTTATAAGATATAAACCACAGCGCACACATCAGACTTACGTAATGCTTTCAGGATAGTCGCCCTACAAAGGTGGCGACGTAAATAAGACATATAGCACCAGCTTATCACGATAATTGATCTACGCATTTAACAAGTAAACAAAGTTTAGTCGATACCGTTTATAAATCCTTACTTGTTTCGAACCAATAGTCGGAACATTCAATCTGCAACACTCTCAAATGAAGATCTCGTCAGGCTACAGTATAAAGTTTGTTGAAATGATTGACCTTTGTCTCGTTTCTAGGTGACCGGGTTCAAAATAAATGTATTTAAGTAACAAAACCATGTATCGTGAATAACCAAAAGACACGGAAGGTAATTTGTGTCCTATAGCGTTTTTTTTTTTTTGAGAAAATGACTGAAAAGTTTGTCCACGTAAAATTCAAATGTCAAGGAGGTAAAACGTTTTTAATATACTTACGAACATAAGCTCTTCAACCAAACGACGTGTAGTATTGATATTTCATTTATAGAACGAATGTTTATTGGGCCCAAATTGGTCAAAGCTTGGTTAGGGTTAATAAATAGGTTCTGAAAAATGTTTTATATAAAAAAGGACTGTCAAAGTAAGATTGAAATTCACAAAATATCAAGTTAGCCTTGCTACCCCAACAACAGCTGTGAAGGGATAAAGAGTGTTTCCAGTTTTATTTCATTCTTGTTTGAAAGTTTTCCCTACTACTGGTTACTCTAACCAAACCTTGAGCAGCCGGTGCCAGATGAATAGGTAAAATTTTCAAACAACTTCGTCTGTGACCCTAAGAAGCGTAGAGTCATGGTGATAACTTATATCATACTGCAAGGATGAAGTTCGTTTGAATGAATGATTTTGATCCAGTAAAAAAGTTCTTCCATAAGTGATGAAAATCAAGATAAGTATACATATTTAAGCAACAAGCAACGAGGTGTACTGTATATCTGGTCTTTTGTGACAGAGATTGATTCAAACACTAATTAAGTCGCCCGTTTAAAGTAAATGTATAAGTGTTGCGAAAAATAGTAAAGTCCAATGACTTTTCACATGTACAAAATGTAATATCGTTTTATGCTGATTTCTTACCAAACAGTTTTCGCGCAAGTGTTCACGTTTTTCCTTTTCCAGTGTTTAAAATTATCTTGCCATTTAATACTTGATATTTACGTTAATGAATTCCAGCTAAACCATTGCCGTCCTATCTTTATAGTAATCATCTTTTAGAGAAAATGGAGCAGGTCACTCAGAGATTTTTTTTTTTACTAAGAGAAAGTTTTAACAAAAGTGCATTCTTCGTCACTGTCATAAAAATGCTTACTAAAGTAAAACACATACTTAGCAATTCTGGGCGGCTGGCCTCTAGAGGTTCGGATGTGACAGGTACTGGCCCAAGTGTAACACCTCGGGTTAAGTAACTTATACGACCTGGACAGGATGTATGCCAAAGATTTCCGGTGTAGAGAAAGCCGAGGGCGGTATTTTATAGTTAAACATTAACTATGTGTGCAGGTACGCCATTGTACCAGTGGTTGTCGCTTTGTAGATAAACAAGAATATAGGGATGCTTTCAATAATAATGGCTGATTCCATCAGACTGACTTAAAAAGGACACACTGCATTTGTTCATCTTCAAATTAACACGTTTATCTCACGGCTTTTCCGGACTCTTTTTTGTGACACTTGTTTTGAGTGCATTCATACACTTACAGAAACTTCCGTCTTTTAAATTTATTTTACCTATAACAGTTGAAGTCCAATATGATAATGACGTTATACATATTGTAAAGTTGGCGCGCGTAATATTGGTTATAGTGTTTCGAATGGTTTGTCATGAAAATTGTTGTTTTTAATTTTCCTCGGAAGCTGCGCAATATATTTGGAAAGCTTATCGTTAAAGTGTCTTTTTTTCAAAGATGAACAACACGAACGTAATTACTAATTGCAAAAGAGTTCCATCCACTAGATGTTAATTCGGACACGCCAAGCCTTACTCGCTAGTTTTGTTCAATAATACATCATGGCGATGTTTAGCCTTGATGTTGTTTACAGTGTAAGAATGACGACCGTAACCTTTGGTAGCAGACAGATTTATTCAGCATCTTTTATGAAGAGTGGCACTAAACGTAAACAACGATCCCCGAAAACCTGTATATTAAACCCCAAAAGGTCAACCGCAGACGGCGAAGGTCAAAGGTCAAGGTCGAATGCCGAAGGTAACTTGTACCTTTACCGTCAGTATTAAAATCTTAAGGAAGAGTCTCCATGGTGTTTTCTCCATTTAACAGGGCTAATTTCTCGTTTTTAGTCATGTTTGATTGGTTTTTATAAACCTGGTTCTCACCCGAGAACGAGAGATAACTTGACTGACCTGGATGCAGAAGACGCTTGTTTTCCCGAAACATCTGGTATTCTTCTTCCCTTTGTACTTCTCAAATGTCCCTATGTAGAGCTCCCCTTTATTTTCACTTATTCAAACATGTAAAAGTAGAACAATGCTGATCTGTTCGCGCTGATCCTCGATTTGGCTGAGTAAGTCAGCTATCTTCGGTTTCTAATTCGCTATGTCAGTTATCTTTGGTTTCTAATTCGGTATGTCAGTTGTCTTTGGTTTCTTATTCAGAATGTCAGCTCTCTGTGGTTTCTAATTCGGTAAGTCAGTTATCTCTGGTTTCTGATTCGGTAAGTGAGCTATCTCTGGTTTCTGATTCGCTAAGTCAGCTATCTCTTGTCTCTGATTCGGTAAGTCAGCTATCTCTGGTTTCTGATTCGCTATGTCAGCTATCTCTGGTTTCTGATTCGCTATGTCAGCTATCTTTGGTTTCTGATTCGCTATGTCAGCTATCTCTGGTTTCTGATTTGCTATGTCAGCTATCTCTGGTTTCTGATTCGCTAAGTCAGTTATCTCTTGTCTCTGATTCGCTAAATCAGTTATCTCTTGTCTCTGATTCGGTAAGTCAGCTATCTCTGGTTTCTGATTCGCTATGTCAGCTATCTCTGGTTTCTGATTCGCTATGTCAGTTATCTTTGGTTTCTGATTCGCTTAGTCAGTTATCTCTTGTTTCTGATTCGCTATGTCAGCTATCTTTGGTTTCTGATTCGCTATGTCAGCTATCTTTGGTTTCTGATTCGGTATGTCAGTTATCTCTGGTTTCTGATTCGCTAAATCAGCTATCTCTGGTTTCTGATTCGCTATGTCAATTATCGCTGGTTTCTAATTTGGTAAATTAGCTCTTCTTGGTTTCTGATTCGCTATGTCAGCTATCTTTGATTTCTAATTCGGTATGTCAGTTGTCTTTGGTTTCTTATTCGGAAATTCAGCTCTCTCTGGTTTCTAATTCGGTAAGTAAGCTATCTCTGGTTTCTGATTCGCTAAGTCAGTTATCTCTTGTCTCTGATTCGGTAAGTCAGTTATCTCTTGTTTCTGATTCGCTATGTCAGCTATCTCTGGTTTCTGATTCGCTATGTCAGCTCTCTTTGGTTTCTGATTCGCTATGTCAGCTATCTCTGGTTTCTGATTCGCTATGTCAGCTCTCTCTGGTTTCTAATTCGGTAAGTGAGCTATCTGGTTTCTGATTCGCTATATCAGATATCTCTAGTTTCTAATTCGGTAAGTGAGCTATCTGGTTTCTGATTCGCTATGTCAGATATATCTGGTTTATAATTCGCTATGTCAGCTATCTTTGGTTTCTGATTCGCTATGTCAGCTATCTTTGATTTCTGATTCGCTTTGTCAGTTATCTCTGGTTTCTAATTCGCTATGTCAGCTATCTTTGGTTTCTGATTCGCTATGTCAGCTATCTCTGGTTTCTGATTCGCTATGTCAGCTATCTTTGGTTTCTGATTCGCTATGTCAGCTATCTCTGGTTTCTGATTCGCTATGTCAGCTATCTTTGGTTTCTAATTCGGTAAGTGAGCTATCTCTTTTTTCTGATTCGCTATGTCAGCTATCTCTGGTTTCTAATTCGGTAAGTCAGTTACCACTTGTTTCTGATTCGCTAAGTCAGTTATCTCTTGTTTCTGATTCGCTATGTCAGCTATCGCTGGTTTCTGATTCGCTATGTCAGCTATCTCTGGTTTCCGATTCGCTATGTCAGCTATCTCTAGTTTCTAATTCGCTATGTCAGCTATCTTTGGTTTCTGATTCGCTAATTCAGTTATCTCTTGTCTCTGATTAGGTAAGTCAGCTATCTCTTGTTTCTGATTCGCTATGTCAGCTATCTCTGGTTTCTGATTCGCTATGTCAGCTATCTTTGGTTTCTGATTCGCTATGTCAGCTATCTCTGGTTTCTGATTCGCTATGTCAGCTTTCTCTGGTTTCTGATTCGCTATGTCAGCTATCTTTGGTTTCTAATTCGGTATGTCAGTTGTCTTTGGTTTCTTATTCGGAATGTCAGCTCTCTCTGGTTTCTGATTCGTTACGTCAGCTATCTCTGGTTTCTGATTCGCTATGTCAGCTATCTCTGGTTTCTGATTCGCTATGTCAGCTATCTCTGGTTTCTGATTCGCTATGTCAGTTGTCTTTGGTTTCTCATTCGGAATGTCAGCTCTCTTTGGTTTCTGATTCGTTAGGTCAGGTATCTTTGGTTTCTGATATTTTATTTTAGTATTTTTGTTTTGACTTTCAGCGCTCTCAAGGTTTTGTTTTTCACAGGGTGCCAGCAATCTTCGGTGTCTTTTCTTATCTAAGGTTTCTGCTTTTAGTATGTCAGCTTTCTTTGGTTTGTGTTTTGGTATGTCGACAGTCTTGGGTTGGTTTGTCAGCAATCGAATGCCTTTCCAGTATTTATCACGTCAGACGCCTCAGCGGTTCACTGGTATTTCACTAAGTAAACGATGTTGCTTCTCTGTGTATGGACGCGGTATCTACGGTAACAGACCTAAATCACGACTGCACCTTAATATCGATGCACATTTCATTGAGAGACTGACGGCCTGAAGGGTTGAGTCACCCCAATCAATTCTCCGCCCCCGACCGATCTACAGTATCATATTATCGATCCAATTCACAGCCTGGGACAGGAAGTCTTGTTTTCAACACCAAGTGCAACAAAGTACACAAATCGATAGTGTCTACACCATGGGACGACATACTCAAAGTACAACGTGCGCCTCGCCTAACACAGGTACATGGGTGAGTGCTATGTAGTGGTCAACACGTCAGAAAATCAACAGTGACAAAGACCTCTACATTCCACATCTTTGGCATTTTCTCCATGTCAGCCAATATTTGTCCACACCCTGCAACCCAGTACTTAGAAACCACGAACCTAGTATTGTAGCAATACACACCTTTAAACTATTATCAATAGATTATATCATGTTTCTAAATCTGGACCCATTTCATGTTTACAAAAGAGGTAGAGTAGTTAAAGAACCAAATCAATCGGTTATGTATAAAAGAAAAGTTCTCAAGACACTATATACCAGAATATTTCCATCTGTGAAGAATCTGTTCCCCTTTAAACTCTCCATATTGTCCCTTAAATTACATTATCATTTACTCATTCACTTTGAGCACTGAAACTAACAAACATATTAATGGTACATAGAAATTTTTTTTTGACTTTATGAAAATTTCCTGGTATGTACAATACCCAGTCCTAGTACATCAAGATATATCTCAGTGTGCCTTAGTCTATATCCTTATATAATGACATTTTATCATTTTTACAGTTCACATAAAACTGCCAAGTATATCACACAACATAGTGGGTTTGTACTCTGATCCAGTTTTTAAGTGCAAAGCACAAGCTACAGAAACACCTAGATGTTAATAGGAAATCTGACAAGCAGAACGAATCTAGATTGTGGTATTACCTTGAAATGATACTTCTCAAATGATTTGAGAAAAACAAGTTTCTTCATATGTGTGTTAAGTCTTAACTATCTTATAATTCATCTGTTTTACCCTCAAAAGTCTTTCAAGACCAATTTTGGTACAAGGAATTCCAATTGTGAAAATACAACAAGAAGACAGGATTGAAGATTCCCATTGAAGGAGCTGAAATATTTTTATCCTCAGTTTTACAGAGTATGTACAGCATCACGTTTTGTTTACAGCACTGTTTTATGTGTACAAGGACTGTTCAACAAGCTTAATATATATATATAATACATATATATATATACATTTTAACATAAGTCTCCCTAATTAACACACGTTATAATTACTCTAGTACTAACAAGTAACAACGGTCTACAACACCATCCTCAACAATGTCAAAAACAGAGCAGTTCAATTCAGAATTCAGTGGCAGGATAAAAACTTTCAATTTTTTTCCCAAATTAACTTTCAACTCTCTGACCAATTCACAGAATTTTAATCCAAAAAGGACAAAATTCTCTTTAAATATTTGATACCATTATTCAACAAACAAGCAAATTCACAGATTTTATCCATCAAGGATAAACTTCAGCATCTCAAACAACACTCGTCTTGCAGACAAATTGACAGAATTTATCCTGGTAAAGTATACCAACAGCAGAACTTTGGTTCAAAGATATCCTTATAATTCACACAAGATTTTCTCAATTTAAAATGCAATGAAAGTTTTTTTTCCACAATTTTCAATTAAAAAACAATTAACTTCACAAAGTAATTAGTTTTAAAACAATATACTGAGAATGATGATGAATACACAACATGGTCTATCTAGTGACGAAATTGATCAGAAATCTAACCCATCCAGTGAGTTAGTCCTAGAAAAGCGATATGATCTTCAAATGATTTTAAACTATGACTCATCTATGATGTTAGGATCCAAGAATAAATCTGAACTAACATGATTAGGTTTATATAAACAACAGCAACAAAGAAATGACTAATCGAACATTTTATGATTAAAAATATGTTAACAACTTTTACTTTATAACAGTATAATACAGGCTTGATGTTGATGAATATGATAACTTTGTAGATCTGGGTCTACAGTAAATTTACCACAAGGATTAACAACAGTTATTCAATTTTACCAGAATCTTTGTACTGACCATGTATCTCGTGTAGTAATATATAAAGACTTTGGTTTGGTAAAAACCACTACTGAACCGATGCTAATATTTTACAAAAAGTAAAATGTCAGAACAGTGTGCATCTACATACATCACAGGTGTACCTTGCAAAGGCTAGGAGTATACTACTTTCAGCTTGAAGCATATGTGTACAGAGATTCACCCATGAAACACACATGTAGTCAGTGCACATCACACATGTGAAAAGTATGCAGCCAATGTAAGGTGAGAGCACACCTGTATATTAATGTACAGCACAGTGTATTACACTGTTGTGTTATACCCACTTGTCACGTAGATCACACATAAACTGCCTCGACATACAGAGGTGAACGTAGCTACTGTTTACTGTGTGTAATACCAGCTTGTCCTAATTAGTCCGCGCTGTAATATGCCACAAAGAAATGTAATTCTGGTTCATCGACTCCTACAGGTAGATGCCAACTTCTCTCCATTATCAAGTCTGTTGATGGCTCTACTATGTATCTTTGGTTAATGAAAAGCCAATTCACAGCGCATGGTGGAAATATATCATTGGCGGTCACATAAATCTTATTTTACAAATGCAGTTTACAGGGTACTGTATAAATACCAAAATGTACTAAATCGTTATGGAGACTTAAGGATGGAGAACCCACATTTTCCTGTATTATACAAGCAAATTTGAAACAGAATGTTTGATACCAAAACTAAACCAAATCAGAGATTGCCTTCAGAAGGAAAGAAAGCTTTGGTGAAAAGTGAAAAAAAAAAACTTAATGCAAGTTATTTCGACAAATACTCTCAAATTTTTTTTCCAATTTTATAACCAATGTGTATGAGCACAGGTGAAAACACAGTTTATTAATTAGACAGTCTGACAGATGCCTTTGTTGGAGTATCAAGTGTCTGTCAATATCATTGCAGTAATATATAGACTTCTGGCCAAGCCCATTTGGATAAAAATATTCATCTAAACTTTCCAGCCTTACAGATGTATATGAGAAATAGAAGAGGATCTCAGCTCCGACTGAGTGTAACCAGAACAAGGTCTGAGGATGGTGATTAGTGGTCCTTTGTTTCCCTAGCTCTCTATTCTTCCTCCACACAACAGGATGTGGCTGATTCGGCCATTATGGGGTGTAGAACAAGCCTAGTTCATGGGAACCTGCTCCACATTCTCCATACATACTTCATACAGGAATTCTGCTCACTGCAAAATGTAACTGACAACGGGGCTCTCCACAGGGGGTTTTGATTTTTTTTTCTTCCCTCCAAAAATTTTGTTTTAAAACTGATACAATCAAAGCAGTGAGTTTCCTTTTCTCTTATTTTTCTAACCTTAAAAGTCAATGATATCCCAGAACAACTTTTCAATTATGTTGTTTTTGTAAATAAAGGATAGATTATGATGTATCATTAATTAGTTGTGTAAATGCATAGTGATGACAAGTTGCTACACATGCACACAAAGTGTATATATAGTGCCTCAAGCAACTTTTTTTCTTCATAAATGTTAAAAGTCAAATTACAAATTGTTGTATCCATCTTTACAGGAAGATACTTTGTGTTGGTCAGTTTCTATCATTAAATAGTCCATGGACAGTGGACAGCCAGTTCAGTTAACCAGATATAGGTTCAGTAGTGTTAAATACCTTCACACCAAATATATGCTCAACCCGTATTTTTTTCCCCCTTTCTTTTATTGGAAAACAAAATCTATAAAAATCTTGAATTTCCTTACAACCATTACTTTGAATTTTATTTAAATCCATAATAGACAAAAAATGTTGCTGTATTTTATGAATTTATTAACAGATACACTGTGATTGTGTAGCTGAAGACGTACAATAGAACGGATAGGATTAACCTGTGTACAAATTTCAAGCTAACTGCAAATTCATCCATTTACATTAGCCGGTATACACAAATTCATATATCTATATATAGATGGCTGTTCTTTATATACACAAAATGACTGTACACTTTGTTTTAAATGACAATTATATACATACATTTTGATAATCACAAGTTTTCCAAGGGTTGCAGTACAGTGACGTATAGAACTACATCCTCACATTCTGGAATCTATTCAATAACAACTTTTTAACATAATCGTATACTAATATCTGTAACTAACAGCGTACAACAAACAATTGAACAGGCCCTGTTCAGATTTATAAGAAAGAAAAACATCATGTACGAATGTATACCAAATGAAAATGCTTTAAACATGAAAACAATCTTGAATTCAACTGTCACCCTCGAAAAAGAAAAGGTATGTGTGGCACTTGTGTCCAATAAAAATGTTTCAAAGAATAAAAAAGTTTTGCACTTTCGACTTAATCATCAAAATTTTCTTTCTCATGTTCTATACATTTACTTGTGTATTGTTGTATAGCACCAATATTTTGCAGATTTTAATTAACGTTAAAATTAATTCACAATACTAAATTAAAAATTGTGAAATTGAAATCTTCATTTTTTTTAAAAGACTCACTGATAAGTAACTGGAGTGTTCTAAATTATTTTATCTTCAATATTAGCCAGTGGAAATAAAATTGGGGAAAATGTTGACCTGCAAAATACAAGTGCTATACAGTAATTTTAATCAAAATATTACAAAGGTCTGCACTTTAAAAACAGGTTTTTAGAGAATATTAAAATAAGTGCAAACTTCTATAAGAACTTTCATTTATCTGGAAATCTCTTGCATTAGACTTCAAAAGTTATCTGAATTTTTCACCAAACCTTAAAGTTGATAAATTTGCATTCTGAGGTGACCTGTTGCTATGGGTATATGTTATATGGGGATGATTTTGTACATGTACAAAATTGTTCATTAAAATGGTAAAACAACTCTTACAGCTTCTTTTCTATTGCACTGAAATTGTTAATAATGTTTATCGTAAACATGTAGGTGTAAACACATTAATATACTGTAATTGTTTGTAATTGATGACTTATGAAGCCATGTGAATATTTGAAATTGTAAAATTGAAATTTCGAAAGACTGTGACTTTGAATGAAAACCAGGGTGATCTCTGATAACAAACATGATAGCATATAAATGTTTTCTCCAATTCAGACAGACACACTTATAGAATGCCCCCTGTCCTTCTTAAAGCAGAAAATTTCAAAACTCAAAGGATAAGTTCATCAGTGATTCATACACAATTCATATATGTATATATATTTAAAAAAAAAAGAAAAAAAAGGAAAGAATGTTATAATGTGAAATGGAGCTTAAAGCAAACCCGACGACCACTTAAAGGAAAAAAAAGAAAATCTTACAAAACTTAACTTTTGAGGTTTTTTGAAAAGTAATGCCACAGTATCTTTTTTTTAAAATTATTTTTTTTAGTATGAAATGGAACCTCCCCCAAGTTGACCCTCTTTCTCAAACCAAACCTAGTACATGTATCCCCATCCTACCACATCTGGTGCTCTCTAGTCCTACACCAGTAGATCCTGCCAAATCCTCGTGGTTTTCATTAAATGCTTAAGTTTTAATATGATGTTAGTTAAACACTTCTAAATTCAAAGGCTGTGTCTAAAAACTTGGAGTATTTTCAGTTTTTAGACTGATAATCTGAAACATCTTCCAGTGTAGCTGTGTAATTTATGGTCTGACAGATATTTTATGAAACAAGATTTTTGTAGACTGCAGGAACTACTGGAGCACATACATTACTAGTTCTGTGAAGAGAATCAAAATTCCTGGTTTTGAGTTCACATAGGCTGCAAAATGTGTGCTTGGGCACAAACAATATAATCACAAAGTGCAAACTTTGTTCATTTAGATTCACTTCATCTCTAATACCTTTGGACCAACCATAGATATAATGGCCCAAACATGTGGGTTATTTGCAAAACAAATTTTAGGGTGGTCATGTATTTGAAGCAGTTCACTTATTGTCATTGGATCACTGATAAACAAATGGATCACTCACAAGTCTACTGAATTGGTCCAAAATTCTACAGGTTTCATCTGCGATGACATTGTGTCCTGATGCATGTGTTATACGTCTAAGTAATCCAAGACAATTGCTGACTTTATATTCAAAGTTAGTGTGCTATATTTTCTATAAGAGGTAGTTAACACAATCCATTGAAATTTAAAAGTGCTAAACCACTGATTCATGATGAAAGTTATTATAATATCCCAATAATGTTCCTATTTTGTGCAAAGTTAGCCACATTTCCGCACTCAGTTCACAAGATGCATACACATTTTTCTTTCACATGCCGAAAGTATCCATCCAAATTTCATATTTATTGAGTAAAATACACCATGGCCAAAAATCCACAGGAATCAACCATTGTGAAAGCATTCAGTTTTGTCTTCAAAATATCCAATAGTAATCAATTGGAACATATAGAAACATATGCTAATAGTATCCATTCTATAACAGAAATTCTATTGAGAAATACAACATGTCTGAATTTTGAATTTAAAGAAGCGAAACAAAAATATTTGTCAATTGGCACAGAATACAGAATAGAATGGTATGAAGTTTTTCCATTACAATGTTTTGAAGAAAAAAATCTGGTCAAAACAATTGTTATATATATATATATATAGTAAGTCTTCCTCAGATGAACGACAGACGAGTAACGATATTACACAATCATGACAACCACGGTACAGTAAATCTGGGACTCAGGTACGTAGTATGTGTTTGTACGCACATTATATCACACATAAGTCGAGAAAAAAAAAAAACAATCACAAATGCCAACGGTTCTCATGAACTACCAGTACTCGAATCCGACTCGATCAGTAAACGTCTTGACTGTGACTGTGAGCTCTGTTCGTTACTATGCTTTGTGGCCTTCGACGAACATTGGCAGCCCTTTTTGCGACACTTGTTGTAACATACAGTACATGCTTTGAGCACACCCTTGGCTGGCCAATACAGGCACAAACAGGGCAGACACAGCGACATCAATGCCATGCATGTCCAACGTTCACAACAATGCGGTTTACTACACAGTGCACAAGGGTCTGTGTCACAAACATAATCAGAGTCCTGTTCGTCCTTACCGCAGTGGTAAAACACGCCTTTCACACAACAAAAACATGTGCACGTTTCTACCACAGTGTCTTCACTGATTTCACACTTGTCTCCAAAGAGCCACCTAGAAGGCAGCTCTCGCTGCCCCGTGCACGCACCACACCTACATTTGCCACATTTACGGCAAATAATCGAGCCATCGTCCTCCTCGATCAAGGGGTCCTTCTTCAGAGGAGGGGATATAGACACAGGAGGCTGGGTGGAGATAACGGTATTAAGCGCTCTCACACCTCGCCCAGGCAGTATAACCCTAGAGTGTGGACTCTCCCTCGTCCCACCACCGATGATCACAGTACCCTGGGAGGCAGGGGCCTTGAGGCTCCCCAGGGGTTGCCCCCGGGGTGAGTCTACATACTCATTCTGGTGTCTGGGGTGCGGCCGCACCTGTTCAAGCGTAATGACAACACCACTGCCCTGATCTGGCGGTGGCAGAGTCGCTCTGGCTGTTGGTCTCAGCGCTGATCTCATATAGAAACCATAGAATTAAAATCACTACATGCTGTAGTTAACATTTCAATCCAAGCCGTAGTGATGCACAGGTAACTTTTCCAGTGTCGTCACATCTGCAAAGAAAAAAATGTTTACAAAATTAGAATACAAACGAGTTTCCAATTTCATTATGAAGCATCAATATTTCAATTCAAATGAAGTTACTTCATATCCAAGTTCTAAATCTCCAACAAATACTTCATGCAACTCTTAAGTACTTGTTTTGTTCTATTGGTTAAAGATTAGAAGAGCTGACTCTTTGCTTCGATCCATCATACACCATCCATTTATAACTCTTTTTTCCTATATTTCAAGTTGTTGTACAGGTAGATACATGGTGTACTTTCAACCTTCGTAATTCATAACAATACAGCACAACAAGTTCTCTGTTCGTCATGTTATGCGACTCCTCTACAGTATAGCCTCTAAACATAATTATGTTTAATACAAGTATGAACCTCACCTAAAAGTTTTCTACACCTCACAAATATTTCTAACATGTATCCTGTACAAAAGACTGACAGTAAGACAAACTACTTCTCCCCATTCATACAGTACAGTTCCCATGGAGTGATTGTAAGCTGGTGAGCCTTGCACTGTGTGGTTTATGTTTTTCTGACCCAGATATACTAGACCCTACAATCTACCACTGTTGGAGCACATACATAAAGACCACAACTTATCTCATACACCCTGGCTTGTCTAATGGATGCGAGGCTTATTATATTCATCAAAAATATTTTCTTAACATATTGAAATCAAGCTCACAAGTACATTTACACTTATTTTGTAGAACAAGGTACCGGCGACTGTTATACCTAGACAGATAGGTATGTATTAGACAAGAGTTCTGTGTTTTTGAGGCAGCCAACAACAGTGAAATCCTTTTAAGTTACACAACAATACATAAATAACAGAATCCTATCATTGTGATTTCTATAAGTGCCAATATGAAAACCTGTATTTTTTGACAAAAAGATTAATTTTCAACACTGTAGACTCTTTCCATCTAAATATTTGAAAATATTTTAAGGTGAATAAAATTGTGTTTTGTTAAAATAAATATCTAGAAATTACAATACAAATTATAGCACTTGTATACATTAACAAGGCTTGGAAAATTAAGAAGATTTCAACATGTTATCCAATATTTTTAGATATTTCAAAAAATGGTTCAGTTGTTATTCTCTACTTTACAATAGAGCATTTGTGTTCACTGTACAGTATCTATATATTTACATTCTAATTAGGATTATGTAATACAAAATTAATTAGGGACAGGACTGAAATTATACCAACAGGAAAACCTTGTGTTATAATGGCCTTCTCCATAAATTATTTGGGGACAGACTCACTGAAGTCATTCTCCAGGATATTAAATATTTTAGCATCAAATTAACATACATCAAAGATGGTTTTAATTTTCATTGATGAGATTTGAAATCTTTTCTTTTTATATGCCAAGAACTAAATATTAACCATGATTCTGGCTACAGTAATGCTGCACATACTTGCTAAGTTCAAATGTTTGAGAACAATTTTCCAGAGTGACATGCATGCTGGCAGCTATTTACAAAATAGAATTATTCATTGCCCAGTGTAAACATAATCATATTTACATACTGCTGGCAACTGAGCATACTAACCTAGCCATATACTAAAGAATTCAAAAATTACCACCGCCAAGCTGCATTTTCAAAGTTTTCACAGAACCTGACACAATTTGCTAACTACACAACCAAGGAAAAATTTAAACTCTTTGGCAATTTAGTAATAACACTATAGCTCTAGATTGAATTAGTAATCTAGATTTAAGGCATTCAATAATGCTGATGACAGGGAATTAAGAATTGAATTTGTATCTAGTAACAGGTGTCTGCATCTCAAAGTAAATATTCAAATATCAATGTATAAACTGGACATAAACATTTAATTATTAACACAGATAATCTATGAATGAGATATTTTCATCGTATACTTTTCTACTGGCTATTTTCAAGCTATTTAGTAAAGAAATTTTTCTTGTTATTGGATTTTTTTCAACTATTTATTATCACTTGTCAAATTAAACCCACATTTTGTTTAATGATAAAACATGATCTCATCATTCTGGGATCGTAACTGTTTTATGAAGGTAGATTTGGATCTGTATGAACAGTGTACGAAAGCTGATCATTGATTTTGAGTTTGTTACTAATTTTCATACCATTTCCATCCACATGACAGTATATCTAGAATATATGCACCATACGGAGATGCTTTTCATCAAGTTTACAAAACTTTCAAAATCCCTCCACAAACTATTGTGGAAGAGTGCAATTTAGACATAATCAATCCATTACTTAGAATATCATTGTCCAGTGTATAAAGGTTCCTCTCGATAGCCACTGCGACCAGCGAGTTCCAAATTTGGAGGACTGTTACTTAATTATTGGTCATGAGTGATAGGTAAGCTAGGAAGTACCTCACCTGTGTTGAGACTGGTGTTAATTAAACTGACCACCATCACATTTGCATCACCTGTGTTAGGACTGCTGACAATCAGACTGACCACCATCACATTTACATCACCTGTGTTAAGACTGCTGACAATCAGACTGACCACCATCACATTTACATCACCTGTGTTAAGACTGCTGACAATCAGACTGACCACCATCACATTTACATCACCTGCGTTAGGACTGCTGACAATCACTGACCACCATCACATTTACATCACCTGTGTAAGGACTGCTGACAATCTGACTGACCACCATCACATGTACATCACCTGTGTTAAGACTGCTGACAATCTGACTGACCACCATCACATTTACATCACCTGCGTTAGGACTGCTGACAATCAGACTGACCACCATCACATGTACATCATCTGTGTTAAGACTGCTGACAATCTGACTGACCACCATCACATTTGCATCACCTGTGTTAGGACTGCTGACAATCAGACTGACCACCATCACATTTACATCACCTGTGTACTGCCGACAATCAGACTGGTTTGATACCCATCTTACATCACCACCTCACCTGTATCCTGTTTCTGTTAGTTATTATCTTTCATCTAACACTGAAGTGAATGGCCTGTAGCTAAACCTAGATATTAAATTTGTGTAGTGCCAGTTGTGTCTACTTCATAAAACAATACTATTAACTTAATGAAATTAAAGAATGTTTTCAATTTTAACATTGATATGTACATCAGTCAATGTCTTTATCTTCATTTTATTAAACATGTATACATTTGAGCCTCGTTATCATAAACTCATGCAGCATTCTGCGAGTCTTTGCCTAACTTTTCACAAAACATTTGACCTGACCTCACTTAAATTGAATACTTGATTACTTGTGTTAAAGTAGTCTATATTTTAGTAGTAACATATTTATACTGTTAATGGGGTTAAATGTCCTCACAACAGCCAGGATCTTAGAAATGTTTAAAATCGATCACAGCCAGGGTCATAGATATGTTTAAAATCGATCACAGCCAGGGTCATAGAGATGTTTAAAATCTACCACAACCAGGGAAATAGAAATCTTTGAAATCTATTACAGCAAGGGTCATAGTTTTTTTTTTTTTAATCTCTCACATCCAGTGTCGTAGAAATATTTAAAAATAAAAACAGATTTTCCTTTTTCTTGGTGTGATTTTGTTTTTACCCTATCTTGTTCCGTGTAGGAACTGTTTACATCACTGTTAAAATCAAATGATAGTCAGTGAACAAGGGAGTCCATTATCACTACAAATGGAAAGCTTTAATATTAATAATAATTACAAAACTAATGTCCAGACTCTAACCATGGCAGCATATACAATATAGCCAGCCTCGTGGATGAAAGCAATCTAGTGTAATACTAGAGAAAATAAATGATACCAAACTGTGTAAACTGGTGAATCAAGACCTCTGTGTATTCTGACTGGCAGATGGGATATCACATGAGGTTGAACTTAACATTAGGAACAAGGAATAGATACATGAGGATGTGCAGAATACAAGCAGTAATTCTCCACAGTAATTCAGTAGATTTTTTTCTGCCGAGTCCAGAGCTAACATTTCTAAAACTTGAATAAGTAGAGTTTAAAAAAGATAAGAGTTCATTCTCAAAATTTGAGGGGAGTCCCACAGGAAAAGCAGGAGTCCAGGACTCAAAAATATGAATGAATATGGAGCTAATTACTCTTCCTTTTCCAATGGAAATCATTCCAGCTTCCACCTTCCGATACTCATCATGTGAATGTCTTGAGAATCACATCTACTAATCATTACTGATGATGAATCAGTAAAGTACATATACTATGTGTAGTTCTTTTAAATTCTGGTTTCCCAGACCTATTACGACCAGGAGTCAATACAATTTCCGAACAGCTTCATGGATGGATAGTCAGCAGGATATCAAGTTTGTACTCTTGTTGTGAAGGAGAATAATTGTCTTTTCACATCCTGATCATAACTTGTTTTGAAAAGAGTACTTATTTATGAATGACCCAACATTTCATATGACCTAGGATAGGTAGAGGGGTATTATATCATAATCATGGAAAATTTTCTGTAATTTTCTGCTTTTCAAATTATGAAGTAAAAAGATTACCAAATTTATCTATACTGATGGTTAAATTATTGAGCAACATGTCTATACAGCCACCATTCAGACCATCCCTAGCTAGAATTATGAAACATCCCTGATACAGCTGCCTCTCCTAATCCACTCCTAGTATATCACCAGGGTGAGTATAAGCATGGTAGAGTAGACACAAAGTCTACATGATAAAATTACTGTGTTGTGTTTTATTATGCAGGAAAAATTTCTCAAGTCTAAAGCTATACCTGGTACAAGACTAATAATTAAGAAGCCCTGGAGAAACTAAACTGAGATGATGAGCAGATGATGGGAAGGGTACCTCATTAATTCAAAACAACTCTACAGAACACTTGACATTTGAACAATTTTTGCCATATAACACTGTAGCTCATTCCAAACATATTTCATTTCCCAGTTAATGAAACAACCCTATTGAAAAATTGGATTATTGAATACTAAAAAGCCTGCTTGTGCTGGCAATGTAGTACTAGTCATTTTGTTATTTTAAAAGTATCAAAAAAAGATACAAAACATTGTCTAGTATGTTAGTCAGCTTTACCAATAAAATTTATTTAATAATTGGGATAGAAAAGATTCACCAAAAAAGTCCTATTTACATGGCTAGTATGTTACTCAGGACAGGCCACAATATTTCACAACAAAATCTCTAGACAGTAGACAACTTCACCACAAAGGATCTATATACTAGGTTAGTATGTTACTCTGGACAGTAGACAGATTCACCACAAAGAATCTATATACTAGGTTAGTATGTTACTCTGGACAGTAGACAGATTCACCACAAAGGATCTATATACTAGGTTAGCATGTTACTCTGGACAGTAGACAGATTCACCACAAAGAATCTATATACTAGGTTAGTATGTTACTCTGGACAGTAGACAGATTCACCACAAAACATCTATATACTAGGTTAGTATGTTACTCTGGACAGGAGACAGATTCACCACAAAACATCTGTATAATAGGTTAGTATGTTACCACAAAATATTGTTATTCAACACAGAAGACATCTTTACATCTGCCTCACAATCACATGCCACTTTATAGTTATTCTAGATTGATCAAGTACTTGATACAGAGGAATCTGTTTTGCCAACATGTCTTTTTTTCATATCTTAGTTTTGTTTTCTGAGCAAAATCAAATGAAAGAAACAGATTGAAGAAAGAGGACATCACATGATGCAGATGATACTAAATTCATATACCTATTAATATAATCCTATTCATCAATTTTCCTTTTTATATTAGATATCTGTAATACAAGATTCACATGACAGAAGTCAAATCACAAATCTGATGGGTCAAGGGTCACCTATGACAGAAGTCAAATCACAAATTTGATGGGTCAAAAGATACAGGAAAACAACATATCCCTTCAACTATGGCATCAAACCTGGTTTAGAGGAGTTGCAGACATGCTATCCACTGTCCACTGACAATGATTGTCCATTCCTTCTGGTCTTTGACCAGTGTCAGAGTGTATATCTATCTCTCTACCAAGTAATTATGAAATTCAATTGCTGACACATTGCCTAGAAAATTTAGCATGTATTTAAAGCTGAAGCTTTTGGCGAAAATGAAAAAAAATGTGTATATGTTGTCATTACATTGGTAAGTTATAATTGTAAAGTGGTAACTCTCTTGGCTAGCTCATGGTTTTTCTCTATCAACAGAGTTGACACCAGTGCAAATTATTTTTTCTCCATTCAGAAAAAGATTGTTCCTTTGGAATGCTCTATAACCTTCATTTTCATTTAACAATTAATTTTGCTAAGGCTCCATGATACCTAATCAGTGCAATATTAAAATGTTGTCTTTGGATGCTGAATTTATATAGGATGGGCCACAAAAAAAAAAAAGAAGGAAATTATGAATATGCAGCTTTCTACCAGTACAGCTGTTGGAGTAAGGAGACAGCAAATAGATTAGAAATTAAGGAGTGTGTTCATATATACATATTAAATGAATTGTCAGGCCTTAGCATTCATATTCCACTAATAAAAATACTCAACAGGCTACTAGTATAAATATAACGTGCAAGGTTTTCTGATGAATATTTGCTCCGTAAGTTCTACATTATATATTTCAGTCAGACTTAGCATAATGTATGAGTACAGATGTGTTATAAAAAAATTAATTTGAAAATTGAAATTCTTTTAATACTTTATCTATAAAAGGGAGTTTATGAATGAGATTATATCTATCCCATATCTATGGCTGATAATAATTCATATGATTTGTACATTGCCTTACATTATATATTGTCATAAAGATAAGTGTTTATCTACCTAACTTTGACAGCAGTCTGTGCCTGCATAAATTGAACAAATACAGTCGTGTTGTCTTTAAAATTGGGAAGGTATTGCTTTTTTTGTCATTTCAGAGAATCAATGCCTTTTAATTAGGGGAAACAGACGGTTTTCAACTGTAAACAGTGCAAAAAATATCACTGAAAAAAAGATGAAAAACCTTTACAGTTTAATTTGGGGAAACAGCCTATTAAACGGCAAAAATACCACTGAAAAAATAATACATATACATTTAAATAGTGTTGACTGACTAATTTCTCTTTTTTTTACAGTAGAGAATCATGACATGACCCATTTTATAAATACAAACGAGGATTGAGATTTAAACTGATGACATTCAAATCAATGTTCAGAGAATTAATGACAATTTCATTGGAGGGGGGCATCTTTCTATATGATCACTTGTCAAGTGTACAGCTGATCAGCTTAAATCAATATTTTTCAAAGGTGACTGATCTCTTTGATAATTACATTTATAACCTACTTTATGACAGCAAATCAAAGCATATTTCATGGGAAAGGAACCAATGTGTTATTCACATCTTTTTATTTTCGTCAATGGTCACATCTATTTCTGCCTGTCAAGTGTCAACACAGAGGATTGATGTCCTACCAAAAAAAAAACAACCAACATCATTTAGATGGAGTAAGACGAACACCGTTTAAAAAACCTTATAGATCATTCATGACGTGTAATTCGGCAGGTCGACCTACCATTTCTTCCGTGCAACAACAGTATATAAATCCCGAAAATGTCCTCTTTTCAGTAAACATCTATATCCTTCATTTTAGTAATCCAGTCCGATACGAAAAAACAACGTTGTGTTCCTGCCACATCACATTAGACCTACCTTTGATAAAACTGGGTATATTTTGTCAGCACTCGACTTCCTGGATATTTAAGGTCGTGGTTTTCAGATCTTTCGTGTATCAGTGTAAGATTTGAAATGAAATAATAAATCCGAATCTTTTACACTGTACTATGAACATACACACCTACATCACAGCAAGCGAACCCAGGAAGTCGGCAGAGAAACGTGATGGGCCCCGCGCTCCCGACGGGGAAAAGCAAAAAATCGATGGTCGTCTGCCTCAGTTAAACCACAAACACCACATTGCACAATCCCGCCAGAAAATGATTTTCTAAATCCATAGAAATGTGTAAATGCTTTGCATAATCCAAGGACCGATTAAATAATCCAACGGTGTATATTCCGCAGTAGAACGTCAGATGGCAGATCTCGGTTCCCACATTTGCCGACTAACGAATGCAGCACTAGGGCGAACTGATAATTATGAATGGAAGAAAGCGCTTCATCATTCGTCCATATCGCCCGGTTTTACGCCTAAATACATCGCTAACTCCAAAAAATACAACACATTGCACTTAAGTAAATTGTAAAATCGTTGATAAGATATAAAATGATCACCCAAACCTTACCTTTTCGGCCAAAATCCCTATAAGGTCTTCATAGATTGAAATTCGACACTACATTTGACCTCTTCTGGTTCGTACGACTTCCGCTGGGCTAATCCATTTGGATGTGGGGGTGGGATGGATTAAGTCACGTGGTATGTTTTCATTCATGTGGCTGAACCGAACAGCTATCTCGCCGTTTCGCTCGGTGTAGCTTGTACAACACACTTTTATTGTACGCACGTCGATGGATGGGCTTACACGACAAATGACAAAAACAATCAGTATTACCCGAAACACAGTTATATCTCCATATATGGAAAAAAGATGGCTATGTGTCAATTCAATGAAAACTAAAAACCGAGGGGTTTCGTAACTATAAAGTTAAGCCTACTATGTAAACAAGCATAACCTTCAAACCGTCTAACCAGATATACTTTGGGATGGGGAAAAAGGTCCAATGTGGAACTCCAGATATAAATTTTACGTGGTATTAATTTGTTTTATACATTTATTGATGGCTTATAAATTGTTTTGGAAACAATTTCAATGTAGTTCTGCATCTTAAGCTTTCTCCTTCATACTTGTGGATTTTGGAAAGGGAATTATTTTCATTCCAATAACACAAAAACACATTCACCGCTGACTTTTATTACATACATATAATGAGAATATCATAAAATAATTTGAAATCTTGACATAAGATTCCCTATAAAATAAAAGCTTCTCCGCTGTGACGTCTGTTTCGCCAGTTTATTTTGTAGATAAAGTGTCATATGTAAGGTCTCCAGAGATCAACTAGTTTGTATAATAGTCATCTCTGTCCAAACAACATAACATTGAACTTGTAAGCGTTTCTCGACAGACTGACCAGATAACTGAATGAGCTCAAACAAGCACGAAATCATCATCATCATCATCATCATCATCATCATCATCATCATCATCATCATCATCATCATCATCAATCATCATCATCGTCATCATCATCATCATCATCATCATCATCATCATCATCGTCGTCGTCGTCGTCAACCTGACCTTTTCGTTATCATTGCTGTTGTCAGTTCCCATTGTCAATTCATTATATAGCGTTCATTGTCGTCATTGTCCTGTGGTGCGGAGGAGTGACACCACAGGATCACAGCCACTTTGCTTACCACTCGAGAGGGTAAGTGTCTAGCTTCGTGAGAACTAGAGGCCGTACAAAACCCAGAGGCATACTAGTTATAGTATACCGACCCTCCTCCCCGAGAAACATAGTTACAGACCCCTGCATTACAAAACGTCCCATAGTTTTGTGAAGTTTGTATATTTGTCTATATTCTTAAATCATATCCATCACATGATAACCTTGTTATTAAAAATGAAATTACGTCACACAGTGCATTGTGACGTAACTATGTACGTCCTAATACGGAGACGAAATGACGTCAAGTTTGATGTTGAAATATCCGTTTCTACGGTATTTGCTTCGGTAATCGATTACGTGTTAAAAAAGGATATTAAATTCATAAACTTATAAAAAGACCCAATTATTTGTTTTTTCTCGACCTTTTTTTTTTATTATTATTACACTTCCCAACAAATGGCTGTATGTTGCCTTCGTCGCAGAAAAAGACGGTTTCATCACAGACTGACGTTTAATAACTCCGCTTTTATACCTTATTATACATAGAATTTAAACACTCATGACGTTATATATGTATATGTTTGTATACGTTGAAAATGTGAAAGACTTATCTTTAATGTGAAATCTGCATATTCATCCTTTGAGCTTTGTCTTATCGCGTACAAGAGTAGATGCCGTTTTCCTAAATCGAACACGCCCTCATAAAAGATAACCACATACGTCATCAAGGACCGAGTTCGGTAGAAAAATATCATTACGTCACACAGGGAAAGGGTTTGAAGTTTTAAGATATTTTATACCTACACAGTTGATATCATCTATCTCTGTTCATATCTGCCGGCCTATCATACATATCTCTAATGCTTGGCCTATATATGATTTTCATATTCGCAATGAAAAATCCTTCAAAATATGTCAAACTTGTCGAGATAATCCTAGTAACTCTTCGGTTTGAAAAACAGAAAGTAATGCTGAGTCACCGCGCCGTGCATTTTTCTGGAAAAATTTTGAAACTTTCCTTACAGAATTGTGACATCTACTTTTAAACTAAGCTTTCATCGACAAATAGTAAATAGATCAATAATCAACGTGAAAATTGAGTCAAAGTTGATTTGGAAATGAGATTAATTGAAAACTAAGAAAAAAAAGAATAAAAAGATTTATGCCGAGACGTACATTTTTTTAACCGAATATGAAACTATTTGTCGACAGAGCGGACATGAACAATCTGTGTCGATGCGAAATACGTAACTTAAGAGCACGAAAACCAGAAGAAAGTCAGGACCTTTTGTCGTCTACCCGCTTCAAATTCTCAGTTACGATCAATATCAGCTTCTGAATTCTACATCGATATCGAAACTCGTTTGGATCTTTGACAAAGATGATGGTCAGTTTTCAACATTTCTATCATGAGATCTCTACTGTAGGAAGAGACCTAATGACGAGGCTAGAATGACGGCACTAGTGTACATTCTGATGATATGTCCCCTCCGGACCAAGTACATGATATTGGGTATGTCAAATTAAAACATAATTCCTTAATAAACGCAAATTTGTAACTCATACATGATGTAACATTCTTGCTAAGGTCAATCTTGGCATTTCCGGTCATCTGTCCTGGCAACAGATCTAACCGGATACCAGAGTGTCATTTCCTGACAGACATTCAAGATATTTAGCACGCTGCCTCGGCCATACTAATGTGGACATAACTTGTTAGGCGTGTCAAACGGATATATATACACTCGTGAAATACCAAGTATTTTGTAATAAAAAGATTCGTTTCTGTACAGGAAAAAATGAGATCGTAAAATGGTCACTATTTGTTTTCGATCTTGTTTCAAATTTATATTTCTGTACTTTTAGTAACAAAGCACTATATCAGTAGCTCCGTTTTCCTGTACAACGGTTTGCTGTATACTCTTTTTTTATCAACTTCGCCCTCGCCTTCACCCCTTCAATGCGAAACAAAATAACCCGGAGAAACTTGATCACCGGAAATCGGACTACAGATTCGTTATTTTAGCCGGTGGAAATGATGAAAGGTGATTGGTCTGTCTATCGGAGTTAAGGTATTTATAACCCGGGGGACCAGACTCTCACCCAATGTTTTTAAGAGGCCGATCATTCCTCGTGTAAAAATCGTATATACAAATCTTGTGTATAAACCCTTTGATAACACGTAGACTGTGCCTTATTATTGAACGTAGCATTGCCGCCGGGGCAGGTACTAAAGTATGGTCACTAAATCTGGAGAGAGCACCCGTGTAAACATCTACTGACCAACTCATACCTCACATCCCGTGTAAACATCTACTGACTTACTCACACTCACATCCCGTGTAAACATCTACTGACTAACTCACACTCACATCCCGTGTAAACATCTACTGACTAACTCACACTCACATCCCGTGTAAACATCTGACCAGCTCATACCTCACATCCGTGTAAACATCTACTGACCAACTCATACCTCACATCCCGTGTAAACATTTATTGACTAACTCATACCTCACAGCCCGTGTAAACATCTACTGACTAACTCATACTCACATCCCGTGTAAACATCAACTGACCAGCTCATACCTCACATCCGTGTAAACATCTACTGACCAACTCATACCTCACATCCCGTGTAAACATTTATTGACTAACTCATACCTCACAGCCCGTGTAAACATCTACTGACTAACTCATACTCACATCCCGTGTAAACATCTACTGACCAACTCATACCTCACATTCGTATAAACATCTACTGACTTACTCGCACTCAAATCCCGTGTAAACATCTACTGACTAACTCTCACTCACATCCCGTGTAAACATCTACTGACTAACTCACACTCACATCCCGTGTAAACATCTACTGACCAACTCATACCTCACATCCTGTGTAAACATTTATTGACCAACCCGTATCTCCCTTTTCATGTAAACCTGTGCTGATACAATGACAACATACTACGAACAAGTCGGCTCCTTTGGGCGACCTTGTTTCATTCACTCAGATTAATAATATTCTGTATTCTTGGACATCCTGAAAATTGGCATTTTATTAACGATATTAGAACAGGTATTTCTAAAACAGAATGAAAATCGCTCAAAGTAACGTCTTACACATAAACTAGTGTTTCGCGCTGAATTAAAAGGGAAACTGTTCGCTGGTTTGTGTAGTTTTTACGTTTAATTTAACATGTTTTCATTCGGCGTGCAGAATATACATAGACATTAAGTGTTTTTTTGTGATTTATAATTATGAATCGGAACAGATGTTTTCCCCTTGTCATGTAATAGTGTAAACGTGCTTAGAATTAAAAGACGAGGAGGAAATCCGATGTTGGCTTTTTGATAGAGATAACTTACTCAACTGTATCATAAATGAAGAATTAACATTGCGCAACTGAGAGATGGGCGGATATTCATCCAAGCGTAAAGCGGAAGTGGTAAACCGCACTTCCGCTTCATCTGAAATACAAAAAGTAAACCGTGGGCCACATAAGCCACAGTTCATAAGGAACCTGACAAGTGAGATTAATGGGGTCCGCTTATTAGAACAAAAAGGTAATCAGCATATATTTGTAATCAAACGTTATTATTTAAATTAGTGGTTTTTATATCCGTCTGTACGACTCCGTTTACCGTCATCTGTCATTTTACGCTTTCATTAGATATTAAAATTTTAAATTTTTGAGATGTGTGTGCACATCTAACGTAAATGAAACATA